ATTTTTTTTATTGATACAATGAATTTTGTGGAAAGTTGTCAAATATAAACTATTTGAATTAACCCCTTAAGCTTGTCACCTTTGGCCGCTTTTGGCCAACCTTTTACTATGGGGCTGAGTGTAGCCCGCACTTTAATTAGAAACTACCCATCTACCCGAGCAAAGTCGGTTAACAAAATGAAAGCAAATCTATATTAAAGTTTGCAGTTCCTATCACAATGAAAACTCATTTTGATTTCAATTGCCACGACATTAGTCTGATATCATATTGTGCTTTCATTATGCAGTCAAGAATTTCTAAATGAAAGCAACTTAACTTGAAGTTCTGCTGTAAACGTTTTGTTTAAACTTTAATTAAGGTCATCTGTCGTTGAACTAACGCTTTTAGTTCTAACACATTTTAGATCATTCGTTATTTGCCCGGGGTGAGATTTGAGCTCAAGTCTTTCAGCGTGAGAAGCATGGATGCTAACCTTTTACACCAGGCCCGTATTCAGTTAAACATTATGAATGCAAAATCAGAAATCAAATTGATTTCATTGAAAGCACGATTAGTTTTCCGTTTGATTCAACAGTGTAAAAGTATGCTCTCATTTTTTATGTGTTAACCGTTAAGTCAACCAAAATGAGATCAACTGGAGTATTCAAAATAAGTATACATCATAACAGAAAATTTTGATTTCAAATTGATCTTCAGCTTTGCTCGGGTAGTTTTCACCCGAGCACTACTGGCCTTTGCTGTTACATCTTGATTGAGACTTCAAGTCTTCGCTCAATTCATTGTTCTTTGAGCAATTCCGCTGTTTTTGATTGCGAGGGAGCGACTCTATCTGAGAAGGGAAGGTTTTTTTTGTTTTTTCTGTCATGAGATACGCACACGCTAAACGAACCTCCGTCGGAGACGAGCCAGCCAACGGCTGAAAGTCTCCTTAATAAAGATATATAAAAAAAAAAAAAAAAAAAAAAAAAAAAAAAAAAAAAAAAAAAAAACGAACAAGATAAAAAAAGGATCAAATGACAGTTTAGTACTTAGTATGTCTAACCGGTTTGCCACATGAGCAGGCTTGCCAAATCATGTATTTCTTCGCAAACTTTGAAAGTTTCTTCTTTCTTACTTCCTCCGGAACATCAAACTTGTGCTGGGCGGTAAAAAACAGTAGCCCCGGAAGCTGCTGGAAGTCCGCCTTGACGTAAGTCTTATCATTCATGATGAGACTATTTTATATTATTAAACACCTTCTGGTTGATACAGGAAGTTCCCGGGAGACTGTGATAGAGTGGTTGTAAAGAAGAAGTATTATTACGTTGGCGATCCAAACTCGAAAGAGGCCGATGCCTCGCTTTATTACTCTTCTATAAAAATGGCTTGTTTTCTTGCACTACAATAATAGCATAGCTCATTTGACAGCTGGAAGGGCTTTTCGAGCAGTAGTACAGTTTACGAAATAGGCTAGTCTAATTCAAATATAACAACTCCTTCATCCTTTAAGTAACTAATTATCGATAGCTGGTAAACAGCAAAGTCTTCAAAACTAAATTAAAATTCAGAACTCAGAATTCTCTGATGAATGCGCAAAATCCTACTCAAATCACATCCAATATATATAGTCGTTAATCGTGTTCGGTTTTCGAGGCCACTTGGAACGTCTTGGTTGCATGTTCGTTAGATCTGCCTTGCGTTTACGTTTTGATCGGATTTCCTCGTTGGAAACCTCCATCGTCCGAATTTCAGACCCGTCTTCCACCATCGTCGCACTTCGTTCGATAGGGTTCTCTGCCATTTGGTCAGACCTTTTTAATGATACCAAGACGTTGGGAGCTGTCAGCTGAATATCACCCTTAGTGACCTTCAGCTGCGTTCGGTGAGCGGTAGTGACCACGCTTCCAATCTGAATCTGAGTTGTATCCGTCCGTCTCGTCGTCCGAGTCTCGCGTTGTCATCCTACCCATCAAATCGTTCAAGTTCTCGTTGTCCTCTGCACTGGGTCCTTCCTGGGGATCCTCCTCAACCCAATTCACCTGGCGGTTCAACAGCAAATTCTTAAGCTTGAAACATTTGCGCCTAATATGGCCTCGCATGTCGCAGAAATCGTAGATCATGTTCGCGTACTTGGATTTGTTTTTCGGCTGATTCCTCCTAAACACGCTTTTGTCTGTAGAACCAGCTCTGGCTGTACCATGGAACTTTGGCTTGAAACCCAACCTATTCTTAACTGATGCTTTGTTAAGTTCTCTCGCATATTGATAAGTTCTCGCCAGTTTATCCAGCCTAGTAGCTGGCATTAGCTGACTAGGAGTTTGCAATGAACCAACCTAACCAGCGTCACTGTCCCTGTTCAGAGATTCCGCATTGTTCGAAGCCATTTCCCAGGTTGCTACAACTTTTTCAACTGTTTCCAAAGTGGGGATATCTTCATTCAAGAGACGTTGTTGCAAACGCTTGTCATGCATCCCGGCAACGATGCGATCCCTGATCGCGGAATTCTTGAAATTTTCAAAAGCGCAAAACTCCGCGAGAAGTTTCACGGCGAGAGTAAAATCCTCCACTGACTCATTGGACTGCTGTACCCTATTATTAAATTTCACACGCTGAATAAAATCCGATTCGGTTTTATCCAGCCTGGACTTAAGTTTTCTGGTCATATCGTCATAAGACACCTCGGACACCTCAGTGTTAGGGAACAAAAGTTTCAACTCAGTAAAAACTGTTGGTTCACTCATAGTAATAAAATACGCTTTGTAATCACTTTCTTTGACCTTGTTCATCGAGAAAAAATAGGTCAAGCGTTCAACCCAATCAGATCTCCCTCCGCTTGGTCGTCAAATGGAACGACTCGAATTGTTGCTTTTCAACGCGATCTTTAACGGTACCTAGTTAGGTCCACCGACGGTTCAATCTAAATGATCTTTTGAATCCCACCAACTTCTTCTGGTTGATACAGGAAGTTCCCGGGAGACTGTGATAGAGTGGTTGTAATGAAGAGGTATTATTACGTTGACGATCCAAACTCGAAAGAGGCCGATGCCTCGCTTTATTACTCTTTTATACAATCGCTTGTTGCACTACAATAATAGCATAGCTCATTTGACAGCTGGAAGGGCTTTTCGAGCAGTAGTACAGTTTACGAAATAGGCTAGTCTTATTCAAATATAACAGAGACAATGAGGCTTCGTCAGCATCTGGGTGTTCAGTTTCCGGGCTTGTGACTTTCCCACCGTATTTTGCCGTTCATCACGATTTGGAGCCTTCTGCACTTAGTAAGTATGCAGTATCTTCCGGTCCTTGGCTCTCTGAACGAAAGATTTGGACAGATTCAACTTTTTGGCCACATCCCTGGCCGAAGCATTGGGATTCCGCTTAAACGCTTTCACGACACGCTTGTGATCCTGATCACTAATAGAACATCCATTCTGACCGCATTTATCCTTCCGTTCGATGCTCAGAGTTTCGTAGTAACGTTTAATCACACGACTCTCCGTTGACTGCACGATTCCGAGTTGTTTTCCGGTGTTCCGATGAGAGGGTTGAGGATTTTCCAGGTGTTTGCACAAAATCAATTCGCGACGTTGCTTTTCGGGTGATGCCATTTTTTCCAACCTCTCGAAAAACTGACAGCGATTAAAATACAGTATAAACAATACACTATAAACTACTTCTACCCACATTTTCAAGAGAAAATACCCAATGGGTAATTTTCTACAGCGTTTTTTTCCGTGATGCAATTTGATGTGGAACACCCTTTATTTTTGTTTGAAGTAGGGTTTCTGATCTAAATTCCGTCCTATTAAGCACAACCTACGCTTTACCTCTCTTTCTTGAACAGGTTTGAACAATAATTGAAATGTTTCTAACAAAGATGAATTCTAAATTTAATCTTCTTTCCATAAGTACAATTGAATTTGACAAAGAGCCACACATTGTTGAGATATTTCTATTTCTGCTTCTTGATTCCAAATTCGTCCTACGAGTTTCAATTCCGTCCAAACGCATTGAAACGCCATTGGATTTTCTTCGTCCTACGGATGAAGGTAGAAAAAGCGAGTTTGCTAGGAGCTCTTTTTTTGTTTTGAGAACAATATGTGTAAATATTCACACTATATACTCTTTTAGGCTTTGTGTTGTAGCTTGTGAACTAACGCATCAGTAAAAACGTATGACTGATTTGTGCACGTGAAGTCATTGATTATACTGATGTTTTTTGCTCGATTGAACGGAAATGGAGCATTACGACGAAGTAGTGCTCTACCCTATTCTGTCGTTTGTCTTGTGTATCATAATGAAATTCAACTTCCGCCATAAAAAGGTCTTATCGAGATCAGAATAGGACCACCAATAGAAGACTTGCTTATCATATTGCGGCAAAGTAACTCGACCATGCAAGCACCTTGTTCCGACGCACAAAGTAGCAATATTTCGAACTTCTATGGAGAAATTTAAATACACTATAGCAAAGGGAACATCATTGCCTTGGATGCTATTTTCAATTGTCTTGAATTTTTCAGCCTCCAACCTTGTTTGAATAGCAGTGTTTTATATTGGCTAACGTACTTGAATAGGTGTGTATCGTAAACCGTTTGTACACGAAGCAAAGCCAACCACATCGATGTGGTGTAAGTGCATGTGATGTCTCACACAGTCAAACGATGGCGGTTTATCTCCGGAAGATTGCTTTCCACAGATAGCACACTTAGCAAAAAAAACTTCTTAAAACCCTTGGTCAGACATCCATTGACATTTTATTTAATTAAAAGGGGGTACTCGAGAATTCGTATCTACCTAGTTATCTGACGAAGACGCTTTATCATTTGAGCGGTAATCTCTTGCGAACGAGTGAGAATATACGACGATTCAACTCAGGTAAGTATTGATGGGCGCTTGGAAGGGGTCGAAAACACTTGTTTTTGTACCGATTCGGTATCTTTCGCCCACAATCATCGGATCGTTCGGATGAGGTGAAGAGTATTTCGTATCGAATACGTGCTATATTGGTCTTCCCAGTTTCAGGTACGTTCAGTTGCTGACTGTCATCGGTCAGTGCTGGGTGCCGGGATCGGTTTCGTTTGAATCGGTGAAAAGTGACAGAACAAAAAAATCCAATATGTTTGCCAAACGGTGCTCGTGGATAGTTCTGCTGGCCTTTGTCTGCATGACTCGAGGTCAGAGCCTCTTTGAGTTGTCCATCGTTCACATCAACGACTTTCACGCACGCTTCGAGGAAGTCAACACGGCTAGTGTGACCTGTAATCCGGAAAAAGGAGACGTTTGCGTGGGCGGCTATGCAAGGACGATGACGGTGTTGAAGAAGTTGCTTGCAGAAAGAACGAATCCGATTTATTTGAATGCGGGAGATAACTTCCAAGGCACCTTGTGGTATAATATTCACCGATGGAACGCAACGGTGGAGTTTCTGAATATGCTACCAGCGGACGCGATGACGATCGGTAATCACGAGTTCGATCACGGGGTGGAAGGAGTGGTTCCCTTTTTGGAGCACATCAATTCCCCCGTCCTGTTGGTCAATGTGGATAGCAGCAAAGAGCCAGAGTTTAAGAACTTTAAAAAATCGATGATCATCGAACGTAGCGGTCGGAAGATTGGGCTGATCGGAGTCATCCTTCAGACGACGTACGATATTGCCAATACGGGTAATCTGATTTTCGCTGACGAGTCGGAAACCGTGCGAGAGGAAGCGGAGCTGTTGAAACAGCAGGGTGCCAACATCATTGTGGTGATTTCACACTGCGGTTTGGATGTGGATATGATTATCGCGGAAAAAGCTGGCTCCGATATTGATATTATCGTTGGCGGTCATTCGCATACGTTCTTGTACACTGGCGATCACCCGACGATTCCGGGCACGGCGCAGGGGGAATACCCAACGGTCGTTACGCAGTCCGGTGGGCACAAGGTGCTAATCGTGCAAGCCGCTGCCTATACCAAGTTTGTGGGCGACATTGTGCTGTTCTTCGACGAGGCGGGAATCATTCAACGCTGGGAAGGCAATCCGGTTTACTTGGGAGCCGATGTGGTGCAAGGTGAGTGTTTTTTTTTTTTAAATTATTGCCAAAAACGGTAGATTTTCTGGAAGATTTTTGAAAGCATAGTTGTAACTTTAAGAGGCACGATTAATTCATAGTTTCTTGCCGTAGGCGCCATATACACACCCAGCCGAGAAATGTAAGATTATTTTCAGATTTGCATGGAAAGTATGCAGAATTTGCAATGTTTAGTGACAGTGCAGATTCTGTAGGTTTTTTAAATGCATTCTGGAACAAAAAAAAAACATGTTTGTATGCTGCAAAAGTAGTGAAGAAATGAAAAAACAAGCTAACGGAAAGTAATTTTGGTGTTTAGATGATGAAGAGTATGTGTCCTAATTTGGGAATTTTCTGCAGCATTCACCCGTCGGTGGATCATCACAATTGGGCCTGCGACGTCCATAATTCTGGTCAACGAAAGTGTCGTTGAGGTTAGGTTGGTACGATCGTAGGAAAGCTCGGACAATCCACTTGAGTGCGATCTATCACCTAGTGGCTGAGCGCCGTAATAGACCACCTAGATATCGTTGGTCATCGGCAATTGAAACTCGGCCTCGCTTGCCCACTCGCCATTAAAGTGGTTGCCATTCTGCGAGAGAACTAGTAGGGGAAAGTCTGCCACGCGAGCGAGAATGATCATCGACTCCCGTGGTTTTATTCAGCTTTACATTGTGTGCCTTACCTGATATACCGTATGCGTGATAATTTTTGCACCATTGAGCAATATCAAAACTAAAAAAAATCTCAAAAATTTCGTTTTCGTTTTTTTTTTTATTTATTCAAAGGGAGGATGTTTCTCATTGTCTTAAACTATGTTAATCGTCGATCGAGTTTCCACTTGCTGCAATTACGGCCTCCACACGCTTCTAGAATGCACGGCAGGTTCTAATAATGTAGTCTGGATCCATTTCTCTCCAGGCACGGGTCAATGTTTGTCTGAGGCTTGCTGTACTCGGGTGGCGTTTAGAACAGGCCTTGACCTTCATGACACGCCATGTTGAGTAATCCAGCGGATTAAGATCGGGGCTGGATGGCGGCCACATATCCTTCGCCCAGAACGGAAGATGCACCTGGAACCACTTCTGAGTGCGGTTCGAGGTGTGGCACGGAGCCCCATCTAGTTGAAATACAACATTTGGCTTCGTATTATTCTTTGATCCACGGAAGAACATACTTATTTAAAATCCCGATGTAGACCTCCGTGTTGACCTTGTCGCCTTCTGGAATGAACACCGGGTCCATTTTTTTGCCATCGGAGCCAACAATCCAAACACTATAACGCTAGCAGGATGCTTGGTCAGATACACGTTCTTGTGCTCGTCGGCCACGTCTTTTACCGGAAGAGAACTAACCTTATTTGTACGATGGTGCAAACATTATCACGCATACGGTAAATCAGGCCATCAGCCATTTGGAGGACCGTACTGTTCCATAACTGCAAGGCCGAATATTTATCAGGCAGCGTATTTCAGTAGCGAAGGTTCGTCACTTCTGGACAGAGTCTTCGTCCAAGCGTCAATTCCCGGCCCACCTGCATACGGGGTGCTACTGCCTAGTAGTTGAGTACTTCCCTAACGGAACCCCACACCGACCTACCCGTGGACAACATCATCAGCACGACCAGACGGCCATTCTAGCGCGTCCTCAACGAACATCAGGCGTCGGTGATTGCTCCACCGACCAGGGGTGCATTATCATCGACTGCGTGCTCAGGTGTGGGTCCTCACTCCACCGGCCTACGTGTGCATCGCCATCTATGAGCCGACAACGGCCACCGGAGGAAAAAACAACATCTCAGGTCAGCTTTTCCACTCCAAGAGAACCACTAATCGCACCTTCGTCGAACGTAAGAAGGAATAGGAGGATAGAGGCAGGAATCGAGGGGGTTGCTAGAGCAATAAACTATAGAAATTTCAATAAATCTAGATAGAGCTGGAATAAGGGCGTAACAGCTTTTGTAAACAATGACTTCTTTCGATGATTTCTATAAAGTTAAGGCTCGCCAATGCAAATCAACAATACCATCTGGTAGAGGAAGACTTCCCCTACCTGACGGTTGTGTTGGTTTGCATGGGCGTGCCTTGAGTTTCTAAAAATCATCGATAGAAGTCATTGTTTACAAAAGCTGTTACGCCCTAATTCCTGCTCTATCTAGAAATGTTGTTCTTGATACGCGAATTAACTCCGCGTGAATAACATTTAAAAGTTTTCGCTCAATCAAATATTAATGTTTGAAATTTTAAACTACTAGACTACACAGTTCGAAAAGTAGTGTAAATTTCTGTCACTATGATGCACATAAATGGAGCGTCACATACCATACAAATTCACATTACAGATCGTGTAAATTTATGAGTCATTTCATGAAATATTCTAAATATTGTATGCAACCATACATTTTTGTAAGCAATATTTCTTGCAAGTTGCTAGTTTACGTAAAAATGAAGTTAACATGCTTCAATTTAAGCATGCATGGATGTTTACATCACCATTAAAATTCATAATTTTTTGGTGTGTAGCATTGATTCATTAGGGAATTAGAAAATTGTTATAGAATTGGAAATTTGGGAACTATTCGAAGATTGGACTTTGGATGGTATTGGAGATGAAACGCAAAAGGCTGGTCCTGATGTGGGGACAGACTAAAGCTACACAATTCAAAAAAGTTGTGTAAATTTCTGTTCAATATGATGCACATAAATGGAGCGTCACATATCATATAAGTTAACATTATATATCATGTAAAGTTCTGACACATTTCATGCAATGTAGCAAATATTGTATACAAAAGCCCATATTTGTAAACAACATTGTTTGCAAGTTGCTCGGTTGCGTGAAATGAAATACAAGTCTACGTGAATCAATATTTACATCACAATTAAAATTCAGAATTTTCTTATCTGTGTAGCTGGGCAACCCGATCCGTAATTCCTGGCAGACTACGGGAATTTTGGAGGCCCTTCCTTACAAAATATCCAAGTATTCCATAACCCATATAGCATAGGGTAGAGCGCTACTTTGTCGAAATCACCCATTTCCGTTTTATTTCAGTTTCAATGAGATCACCGTGCACAAATAAATAATAGGTTTGTTCCGGTGCGTTAGTTCATTTGCTACACCGTTCAAAAAATTCATGTAAATTTCTGCGAGATATAGCGCACATAAAACTAACGCTAGATTTGGCATAAATTTACGCGATATTTCGTGTAAATTCAAGTGCAATATCTCATAAATTACCAATATTGTATGCAAGCTTGTAAACGATTTCGTTGATTATGCCAAGTATAGCTCAAAATTAAACGAAGGGAGATTTTACGCGATAGTTAAAATCCAGATTTTTTTTGGTGTACAACATAAATTCTATTAGACCGCATTGTATGAATATTTACGCTCATTGTTCTCAAAACAAAAGAAGCGTAGCACTAGGAGCGAATCCTCTTTTTCTACGTTTATCCGTAGGATGAAGGAAATCTAATGGCGTTTCAATGCGTTAGAACGGGATTGAAACTCGTAGGACGAATTTAGAATCAAGAAGCAGAATTAGATTTTAAACAATATCTCAACAATTTGAGACTTTTAATCAAATCCAATTTTACATATGGAAAAGTGAATAAATTTAGAAGTCATCTTTTGTTCAAATCCGTTCTAAAAAGAAAGATAAAACGCGTGTTGTGCTTAGTAGCACGGAAATTAGATTAAAACCCCTATTTCAGATTTTCTCTCTTATGAAACAAGGCAGCATGGAAATTATTTCATGTGATTTAAGATCTCCAAAAAGTGGTCTGGATATTTTTTCAAAACTTCAGGTTGATCAGGTACTATTGTACTGAAGATTTTAAACTGTTCATCAATTCTTATCCAATCTCGTTCCCCACTCGTTAAGGCATCCGTGATAGCCTTCCATTGTTTTTCTACGCTACCACCTCCTGGAGAGCATCTGCAGTTCTAGTTTAAAGTTCTTCAATGGACGACCTCTTCATTGTAGGTTAGGCCGTACCTTGTGTTTCAAAAATGGGAAAATTTATTTAAAGGATTCAACCTCTTAACACATTTTATGCAGTAGAGCGAATTGCCTCACTACCTTCTGACCATTATTTCATTTTTACGGATAGTCTTAGCTCATTGGAGGCTATCGTTCAATGAGGCCGATGAAGCACTCCTCGTATTTCCTGCCTGAAATACGATCTAAACTGAGTGCTTTATCTAACTGCTCCTATACTATCACCTTAGCTTGGGTCCCATCTCATTGCTCAATTCCGGGTAATGAGAAAGCGTACTCATTGGCTAAGGTGGGCGCTATGGAAGGCGATATTTTTGAGCGACAAATCGCCTTCAACGAATTTTTCTCCATTGCTCGTCAGCAAGTCCTCATCAGTTGGCAACAAAAATGGAATGATGATGAATTGGGAAGATGGTTACATCCTATTCTCCCACAGGTGTCGAACAAACCATGGTTCAAAGGGTTGGACATGAGCCGCGACTTTATACGCGTTATATCAAGGCTTATGTCCAATCACTGCTCGTTAGACTCGCATTTCTATCGAATTGGGCTCCCGAGCAGCAATTTATGTGCGTGTGGCAGTGGTTATCACGATATCGAGCATGTTGTTTGGTCATGTACCTTACACCGTGTTGCCAGATCTGAGTTATCCACATCCCTCAGAGCCCGAGGAAAACACCCCGCGATACCCGTTAGAGATGTCTTGGCGAGCCGAGACCTCGACTATTTGAATTTAATTTACGTGTTTTTAAAACGAATAGATCTGAAGATTTAGTAGTTAGTGTCATCTTGTGTTCTCCAAAGTTATTTGCTGCCCATCGGTGTACCCCCATGTTTGTCTTTTTCATCAGAGTGTCGCCTAGTTCGAGATCAAGAGCGCATTGCTCTCCAAACCTTATGTTCACAATCCCTACCCTGCCATCCATTTGTTACAATTTGTTACTCCTAACCTCGAGATAGCCGCGAGTAATCGGCCCCCGCTTTACTAACGTTAGTTTTAAGTAATTTTGTTGTCTAAACAATGAATATCGGCTCCGCAAAGCTACAACAAATAAGCCTGGAAAAATAAACGAGTGAGTTATTAAAAAAAAAAACCTTAACATGTTCGTCTTGGTTTGAAAACAAACAAACAAACTAAAATTTGAAGATCGATAAAATACGTAGTCAATTTTTGTTTGTGTTCTATTCAATCATAGAGGTCATTATTTGAAAAGTTTACTTGTAATATAAATGTTTCCAATTAGTTTGGGTTTATGAAATATTAATCACGTTGTTATAATAGATTTCGATCAAAAAATATTGTTTAAATCTCATATTACCGAATTTGCAAACTGCATGTCGAAGGTGTGACACAGCACGCCTGTCTCGTAGTCGAGAAGCGAGTTTGCTCACATCATCGACACGCATTTTGCAGGTTTGGTTGCATGCACACTTAGAAAAATTCATGTAAATTTAGGTGCTCTGAGAGTGACATATACGAGCGTCAATTTTGACATAAATTTGAGTCATAACAGACGTGAAATATAGCTCAATCAAACGTACTTTTCGTCGAGCAACGAACTTTTCAGTCTCGGAGCACTTAATATTACATGACATGTTTGTTTACGTCTCATCCTTTATGTCAAAGATGGATTCCGTCACGTGTAAAATTAGTTATTTCGAAGTGTGTGGCTGTGAAAAAATGCCTTGTAAAATTAATTCAGCGTAGCACTTCAGAAGTTGAACCGAACTTATTTCACATCATATCGAAAAAAAAACGCCAAATTTTCTCGGACCACCCTACTGACAACCCACTTTCCTTCCAGACCCGGAGGTCGTGCAAGCCTTGATCCCGTGGAAATATGCCGTTGAAGAGCAGGGCAGCCGCAAAGTTGGATCCTCCGTCGTTGATCTGCTCAAATCGAACTGCAATGTGGCCGAGTGCAACCTGGGAAGCTTGCTTGCCGATTCGATGGTTGCGGCTTTCATCCCGTTGGCCGATCCGGGTCACTGGACGTACGGTGCGATTGCCGTGCTGGCCGTTGGAGGCATCCGTGTGAGCATGTTCAAAGGAGGTACTACCCTTTCAATCGGTTGGAATATTTGAAGATTTCAATATCTCTCTCTCTTTCTTCTACAGCCATCAACTATGGTAGCCTGATGGAGGTGATCCCGTTCGAAAATGCACTGGTTTGCGTGGAGCTACGGGGTGACTATCTGCTTGGTGTGCTGGAGTATTCGGTGGAAAAATCCTGGGACGAAGATAAATTCAACGGTGCCAACATGCTGCAGGTAGCTGGTCTTAGGGTGGAATACAACGTCACTAAGCCCATCGGCGAACGGGTCCTATCGGCCGAAGTACGCTGCTATGATTGTATGGTTCCTTCGTACAGCCCATTGAAACCGTTGAAGTATTACCGTGTGATCACTAATTCCTTCTTGATTGATGGAGGCGATGGGTTTCACATATTTCCGCAGCATGGTCGCAACAAGCGGTTCGGACCAATCGACAGTGTGGCGTTTGAAGATTATGTCAAAAAGCGCTCTCCGGTGATACAGGGAATTGACGGCAGGATAAAGGTTTACACGTAGATAAGACAATTGTAAATTGTTGGCGACCATTCGGCGGTAGTCCGGTGACGAGTCGGGAAGACAATCTATCGAATGTAGTGATAAGAGCGTATGTGTATTTATCGGGAAGGACGGAAATAAAAAAATGCTGATTTTAAGCTTGAGTGACAATGAATTGCTGTCTTCTTGAATGGGTGGAGGCACGGTTCATGGATGACAAGGTTGTGATTTAGGTTTTCAATGGGGAGAAATCCGTTTTAGGAACACGTGAACTCGGTAATCATTTTAGATGTCCAATGACGACAGATGAAAGATTTATTGAATAGGCAAATTGAATTGGGCTGTGACATCGCATAAAAACTGATGGAACAGGAATAGATGGATACTGGATAGGTTCTAGAAATTGATGATCATGTGGTATCAGGAGACGCACACGCAATTCATGAATAACATGGCCTCAAAAAAGTTTCCTGAAATATTTGTCAAACAATGTGCCAATCACTTTTTTTTGGGTCTTTAAGATAGATATTGTTAAAAATACATTAACTTGGTCGTGGTGGTTTGAAAGCAGAAATATTTAGGATAATTGATCTATACAGGTTGGACCTTTTACAATGAGTGTCGATTTGATTTTGGCTGCAGACTTTATATGAATTGCAGATATTTTATGTTATGAAAAATTTCATCTTGATTTTAAAAGTTGAAACTTAATTGAAATAAAGAGTTATAAAAAGCCACAGCTGCCAAAACTTGTATCAGGGCATGCCATATTTCATCGATAGCTTTGACTTTTAACCAAAGTGTCTGTTACTGAATACGTAAAGTTTACGATTTCGGAGTTGGGAGACAATGCTATATACTTATATCAACATGAAGCTATAGTGCAATAATTTATTAGCTAGAGTATGTTCTAATTCTTCCTTCTTCACAAGCTGCTTCTTTTTCCGATCTTGACGTTTCTTGATCTTTTCATTCTCGATTTTCTGTTCCAGCTTTTCCTTTGCATTCAAGATAGCCAAAAAATTCTGACTCGTAGAAAGGAAGATGGAAGTTTTGCCTGCGCGGTTCTTTCTTGACTTCTGATTTTATGCATGAGAAGATTGTTTCCATGTAGTTTATCCTGATGAGAACATTCGACATTAGACATTAAGTCAGACTCAAAATAATTGTTTAAGTTTGTTAAAGAGAAACAAAAATCAAGGAGCTGTCCATCAAAAATGCAATTCAACAACAGGACTGGCAACACTCCCAATGAGATCAGTAGCTGATTTGCAAAATTAGTTTTCAGGACATTTATTTAACTATGATGAGAACGAGTGAGATCATCAATATTTTTCATATCTCCAAGAGCCAATGATGGCCATTACAGTTGTTAATTTATCTGTCGATGAAATCCTTCGTGCTCTTGAAACCTTGTATGCTTCAAAGGGTGCTGGAATTGCTATAATATCATGCATTCCTAAACCATTCAAATCCATCATTAACGACAATCTGTTCTCACAGGCTAAATATTGAATTACTAGTAAACAATATGAGTTTGTTAGGGGAAGATCCACAGCTACGAACTTGATACATTTGGTAACTTCTTGTCTAATCTTAACGGATAAAGGAAACTATGTTCAAACGTTACATACTGACTTTAATAAAACATTTGACAGAGTTGACATACCACTTTTGCTTTTTAAACTATCCAAGTTGGGTTTCAACCCTAGGCTACTGAAATGTATCCAGTCAAATTTATCACGAAGAACGCAAAGAATAAGATTTGAAGGAAATTTGTTCACCTAGTTAATGTTACATCAAGCGTGCCACAATGTTCACATCTTGGTTCACTACTGTTCTTTTTAACTCTTTATTTACTCCAAATTCAAATTAAATAACATTTAACTTTAACCTAGGTGCATCAGTTACTATAGTAACTAGCCAACCTTATTTGTTATGACTGTATATAACTGTATATAACTAAGTGTTTTTACATTGTCTCTGCCATGGCAATGCAGTTTTTAAAACTAGTTGTCTAAACCTCCATGTCAGTATAACTATTGATATCTTAATACTAAAACTAAAAATAAATCTTTTCTAAATATAAAAGGAAACGATCGTTGCCTGAAATTATTAATTATTTTGTTGGACATTTGTTCGAAAGTCTCAACATTCAAAATTCTATGTTACTACCGAGGTACATAGAATTTTGAATGTTGAGACTTTAGAACAAATGTCCAACAAAATAATTAATAATTTCAGGCAACGATCGTTTCCTTTTATATTTAGAAAAGATTTATTTTTAGTTTTAGTATTAAGATATCAATTGTTATACTGACATGGAGGTTTAGACAACTAGTTTTAAAAACTGCATTACCGAGGTACAAAATTCTATGTACCTCGGTAGTACTGAACCGGGAAGGCAACTTCAAAATCATCTTCAGGACTTTGTGCTGAATTCTTTGAAGTGCTTTTTTCCTGGTAGTGCAACAACTAGACCATATTGGCAAAGCGTAAAGCATGGCCGGTCTAAAAATTTGTTTAAATATTAGGAGTTTATTCGTCAGGCAAAGTTTGGATTTCCTGTTTATAATAGGATGCAAACATTTTATATATTTGTTACATTTGGCTTGAATGCCCTCAATGTGATCTTTAAAAGTTAATTTTTGGTCAAGTACTAATCCAAGATATTTAGTATTTTCTCGCTTTCCGGGAAGTTTTAGAATCGAGAAAGAAAACGTGATTCATCATGTTTGCAAGCATCAGAAGAGGTGTCGTAATTTGCGTTGTTTGATTTTTTCTCCCGGACCAGAAATTAGTGGCATCGCGAGTGATAATTTGAAATTTCAGTTCATATACGCGCTGCATGGTGAATGACACAGTAGGCTGCGCTTGAAAGCTTGTTTTTTTGCTGTGTATTTTTCGACAGCGAATTAAACATTTTTTTGCTTTAATTTTTTTTAATTTGTGTGGTGAAAATTAGTTTCAAGTGTTCATAAAGTTATCATTTAGTGATGTATCGTGTTTTGCCAGTGATTGCCTTGAGTGACTCGGTTGACTTTGAATCTAACCTCCAGAATCTACGACGCAGCTTCAATTCTATTGTTCGGTGTAGGTTCTCATTGCCTCCCGGGAGCCCGATTCTTCGAGTTCGGATGGCACACTTTCGGCGTGTAGTTCTATTGAGAGATTCGTCACCGTGGGCGATTGTGAACCCGGTCCAGTTGGTGAATTAGCCCAGGAACGTGTTGATAATGTGTCCGTCGTGATTTTTGGTCGTGAATCAGCAAGTTTTCCACTAGCAAAAGTGCTCTGCTGCTGGTCTCTCGCCGGTTCCGGAGATTGCGAGCAATATGAAATATGCCTCGCTGAATACGCCCAAGACTGGACGGGTGGTAGCTGGTGGCCGCGAACCACCTCCCAGATGACCATGGAAATGCAAGAAAATTTGTGTTCGTCGAAGGAAGTATTATGATAAAGGTGCATCACGAAATGAGCTGCAAAGCTTAGAGAAAATCAAAACTACGGAACGCATGGATTGGAGGATCAAGTGAACATGGTGAGACCAGTCCAAATACATTTTACAATTTAAAAAACATAAACTAAATACGTGCCTGGTTTGAAAAAAATATTTTCGAACATGGAAGTGTGTATGTCATACCAATATCCATTTGATAACGGTGATGCATACATGCGGGGCTTATTGTAAGTGAAACTAACCTCGGAATTGGCGTGACTCTCCAGACATTCTGAAATGGGTTGCTGGATCTGCAATAGAGCTATCATCTTCTAACTCCCGGACTTAAGCTGTCTACAATGACCATAAATGCGACATTGTAGAGAGAGTTCTTCCCTGCCGGCCAGTGGGGGTTAGATTGAATACACACACACACACACACACACCAAGAAATTGGAACTCCGTTCATAGCGACTATATGATTACTACTAGGAAGCTCTAGGCTTATGTGGAAATATTATAAGTTGAGTTTTGGAAGCGTTGGGAGAAATCTTCCATTTATGAAAATAAGAAGAGAAAATATCTAAACTTTTCTGCAGTCTGCTGCAAATAACACGAAGACTTCTTCATTTAGCGGAAATGCCTGTGTCATCGGCGAACAAAGATTTGTGGCAACCCTGAGGCAAATCCGGGTGGTCCGAAGTGGAAATGTTATACAATATAGGCCCAAGAATGCTACCCTGAGGAACTCCTGCTATAACAGGTAGTCGATCAGATTTGGAATTTTAATAATTTACCGGCAGAGTTCTGTTGAGCATAAGGCTAGCTTTATCCAAGGCCTTAAGGTTGTTTAGTTCACTAGACTTGAAGTGAACTAAATAAAAATCATTAGAAATATCGTTGCGCGAATTGCCACGACGGGATTTTATATTCGTTTTGATTACTTGGCTCTACTCCAAGTATTTTTTTTAATTCATCTGTGATCTGATCCAGGGATTCACCACTGGGCAGACCTTTCAACACAATTTTGAACAGACGTTCAGTGGTGGTGCCGTAAGTGAAAAATTTGTGTTGCTTCTCAGTATGATACTTGGGAAGACGTTTGAATCCGTCCAAGGTTTCAGCCAATAAATGGCATTCACCCCGACGGCCAATTTGAAGTTAAAACTTGAATTTAACGAAGTTCAAAAGTTCCGTGCGAAGAGCATGGAAATCAGAAGTGGTTATCACAATAGGGGGAAACTTTTCCTTTATAGCAAAGATTACATCCTCAGAAGAAGGGTTTGTGTATTTGCTCATTTTTCTATGCGTTGCTTCCACCTTCACTCAAGCGCAGCGCCATTGTATCTATCGCTTGGAATCTGGTAAAGTTGCCAGTCTTCTTGATGTATTATTTTCGATAACAGGCTATTTTGCTACGCCTGTTTTGATTTGTATGTATGTATGTATGTAAGTATGCAATGAATTCCATGTGTGCTATCTGCTTCGCCCTTCCAGGTTCTGACGATACGGTTCTGCTTGATCCCACCGATCGGCTCATACAGGTATTTTAGATGGGTTTTCGTTGTTTAGAAGGCATGGATAAAAGTGATCCAATAAAACACTTACGATGCTCTGATGTGTTTTACTAGAGTCTCGACTTGAACGAATGTGAGGACTGCAGTTGGTTGGACAATGGGAAATGGAACTGTAGGTCGAGGGATCTATTAGGAATTGCCAAACTTTTTGATTGAATAACAGATTAGCCTGTTAACATGTTTAACGTCCAATCACATATTATATACAAATATATATAAATATATTATATATATTTTCAAATTGGGCGTTTTTTCCACATAATCCTTTTTATATTAATTAGAATTTCTAGAACAAAACTTAAGTATGGTAAGCTCTGCTATACAGATAAGAATTAAACTCGGTATGTTTACAAATGCTAGATATGACCCTTTGAAATGTTTGTATATGAATATGTTGTAATTGCATGAAAAATATAAGTTTGTAGTGAAAAGTGAGCGATGAATGGTGGTCGAGAGGTGAGCGGGCTATGTCTTTTTTAATTTTTCGACTTTTGCAAATCGACAGAGACCATCACCACCAATGCAAAGGTTTCGGATCATAATGATGTGGTTTCAAAATGTAGTTAAACTATTTATTTTACAGTGCCTTAAAGTGAACAGAATTACATACATAGTAGAATGGGGGTAGAGAAAGTCCTTGTTTTCGCTTATTCGAGCATTTTTTTTTCTAACGAGATTTGTCAATAACCTACACGGCAAAGTAATGATAACTATAATAGTTGATGTAGAAATTATGCTTTCCGAATTTTTTTTTTTAGTAAATAGTCTTCGATATGAAAATCATGTTCTCCTTTCACAGTCTATCAAGTAGTACAAAGTAGTTTTTAATTAGAGTAAAATATACAGTATCCCTCGTAGTTTTCGCTTATCACTACAATATTCGGAGATGGGAAGATTTCATACAATAGTTTATATGTTTAGATCTTCGATGAGATTAAAGACGGGATAGCACGCGATTATTCTTAATATCAATGCACTTCTTGGTACAGGTATTTAGGTATACTAACCGGGTATGAACATAGAACCTAACATTTACTCCATGTAACTACATTTATTTAAACAAGACTCGGATCCACGCTCAGGATCCATAATCGTATGTATGATGCTTTTGCACGGTTGGTGTTGAGGCTAATTCTTCACTTTGCTCCGCGCTACCGGGACCGGTGAGGATTGCCGGCTGTCGACCGATCCGTCCGATGCCGTATCCTGCCGGTCGTCACTGTTGGTCCCGGCATAGTCCGCCGCTTCGTATTTTTTGATTAGCGCATTATTGTGGGCGTAGGTCACTTCTAGTCTACGGAAGGATCGATTTTGATGTTGAATTTCGTTTTGCATTTTCGATTATTTCGATTGGAAGAATAGGCTATTATGACTTTTGTTTTGCAACGGAATGTGTTAGTTCTGTGACAATAGGCATAGGAGATGGTGTGGTTATTGCATTTTAGCACTAGATGACTTGTTAGTTAGCTTTGATCACACTTGTTAGTAGCTTTTCGGATGTTCCTACAGCGTGAGTTAAGCGATTTTGGTATTTGGTTGGTTGGGGGATGGCACAAATCTACGGTTTAATATTTAGTTCGGGGGGTTTTTTTTGCGACTAAAGATGATTAGCGTTTCTGTAATTTTCGACTTTGGCTAGGCGACAAGCAAAATGGTTATTCGGTTGGAGAGGACGCTATAGAGGTTGTTTTACTTCAAGCATTCTTACTTTGGCACTTCTAGTGGTCGGATAAGGCTCTGGATGATTTTTCTGTTGGCAGACAGTGCGGGGCCGCTGACACAGATTGTGGCCGATTTGAGATAGTTTACCAAATCCTTGGTGTAGTTTTCGTCTATTTCCTTCGTGACCTGTTTGTCTTTTGAGGAAAAGTTGAAGGGAAATACTTTGCGGAACTTGGAACGGAGACCTGAAATGCGAAAGATTCTCGGTAAAATTTGATACATTGCAACCAACCTGCTGATGGTACCTACCATTCGGATTGGTTGTCTGTGCTGCCATGCTGCTGCTTCGGGTCGCTCTCAGTGCATTCTTTTCACCAGGAAGATTGATATCGTGGGACCACTTGCCACAGGGCGCTGATTTATCCAGTAGCCGTGCTCGGGCGCATTGCTCTATCGTTTCGGCACACGTGTGTCTGTAAGGTGATAAATCAAAAACTTACTAGAAAATCACTCACCACCAATCGCAGGGCAAAGGTAAATCGTCCCTGGGGAAACCAAATATTACCTTCCACAGAATCGGGCCCACTGCTCGGCCCGGAATCCTCTACCGGTGTCCGTCTCGACCGGGGATGCCCCTATCCGGATGGTTTCGAGAAAGAAACAAACACAATTTAAATGGAAAATATCTTCCCAACAACAGCGATAAAACACACGGGTTGCAGGCAGTTCGACATGAAGATGAACAAATATGCACTCATCGGTTGGATTAGGTACGCATATGGAGCTGAAAACTTACCAGCGAACAGCAGCAGCTTGGCACAACGAGTTCTTCCCTGGAGGGCAGCCTTCATCAGTGGGGTGAAACCGAGGTTGTTCTTCGGGTCAATTACCAAACTTCGGCACTTGGTGATCAGCATGTTGACGACGTCAGATAGTCCTGGAATTGATTGAAGCCGTGAGATATTACTTTCCATATATTTTCACCATCGCTGGTGAATAAGGTTAAATATAGTTTGTGTGCTGTTAATGCTTATTGCGATTCAAAATCAATGTTGAGGTCTTCTGCAGGTTTTTTTTTTAAATACTCAATTGTCCGTATAACAAACCATTATCCAGAAAACTGTTAACTTTGAACATTCAACCCCATAAAATGGCGATCTGCTTTTCTAGTCCAGTCTAGACAGTCTTGTCCAGTATTTCAAGGAAAACACACCCAACAAAACCCGATTTAATACAATTTTTTTATATCTTTATTAAGGAGACTGTCAGACCTGGGCTGGTTCGTCTCCGAATATCTCAACGTAGGTAATGGAATATTACACTCCGTTTCACTAATTAGTTTCGTCAGTTTTCCCTGATATATTAGAACGGAATTTTTACATACAGCACCGTACTCATGAGTTGGCAAAGGGGCACCAAAAATCCTGAGGGGCATCTACAAAGTTCCCTTATCCTTACTTCTAGACAATTTTCTCAACTTATACGAAGTTCCATCAATTTCTTCCAAGATCCATAATGATTATTTTTTTTAAGTTATCTCAATTCTAACAATATCTCAGCACATCCATGACCTTCTCAAAGCTTCAGGAAAGACTTTGAAACTTTCCTACGAATTTCCTAAACATCTGGGCGAAAGAAGTTCTTAACACTTTCAATAAGTTCCCAAATCATACTCTGCATTTCTAAGAAGTATACTGAACTTCTACAATTCTCCCTGGTCTTCTACGAAATTCCCCGACTACCTACGAAGTTCACTGAGCTTCTACAAATTTGTCAGAATTTCTACGAAGTTCTTTTAACATCCATGACCTTCTCCAAATTTCAGGAAAGACCTTGAACCTTTCTACGAATTTCCTAAACATCTGGGCGAAACAAGTTCTTAGAACTTTCAGTAATTCCCCAAATCATACTCTGAATTTCTAAGAAATACACTGCACTTGTGCAACACTTCCTGAGCTTCTATGAAATTTTCTGACTACCTGCAAACTAGAATAAGCTTCTACAATTTTGGCTGACCTTCTAAGAAGTTTTTTTGAACTTTAAAAAAATCCAAGTACTTCTGTGGAGTTTTACGAAGTTCCTTCTCAGATTTCCTATTAAACTCGCAGCACTTGTACAAAGTTCCCTGATCCTTTTAGGATTTCGTTGGTTTTTTGCGTACAAAATTTCATGATCCGGATTTTCCAGATCTATCTTAAGTTTAACGAAGTGCTTTGAAGCTAAATGAAGAACTCTAATGAAGCTTCTTAAAACTAAACAAAGATCCCTTAACTTCAACGAAGTTTCCCAAATTTGCAGAAGGTTCCTAGTTCTACGAAGTTTTCCCAAATTTTTACAAAGCACCCTGATTTTTATCGAAATTCTCAGAAACGCTACAAAGTTTCCCGAATTTATATTAAGTTTCCTGATTTTTTTTTTCCTGAAGCATAAAAAAGTATAATGAAGATAAAGAAAAATCCCTGAACTTCTTCGAAATTCTTAGAAATTCTTAAAATATCGTAAAATTTATCTAAAGTTTGCTTATATTCAGCAATGTTTGATGAAGTTTTACATAGTCCTCTGAACTTCTACAAAACTTGCTGATTTTCCTTGAGGTTCTATTAAGATCACTAAGCATCTACAAAGTTTGCTGAGCTTTAACAAAGCTAGATGAAATTCCATAACATTCTATAACTTGTAGAATGTAATGTAATGTAATTTAATGACTACGAAGATTTCGAAAGTTCTACGATTTAACACCGATAACTCGATGTTTAACCTTTTTTTATGAAGATTGAAAGGAGACATCGTTTTTTTCATTCTTTTCGTGAACAAAGAATCGATCTGAAAAATCGGAAATCGAGATGAAAAAGAAACAATCCAAGATCGCCCAAACCTAGTCTAGAAACGATTCTCTGATGACTGTGTTGGGGAAGCAGCATATGCATGTTAGTAATTGGTGGATTCGTTAGTTATTTCGACGCTTTTGTACAATGTTTAACATTTACCACTTTTCCAATAGTTTCTTGTTGAAAATCAACAGTTAAAAGCATTGGTTTAGATACGTAGAAATATTTCTGATTGATTGGGGATAAAATTATTGAAATTGGTCCAGGGGCAGCTGAGCTATCAACGTTCAAAATCTTTCATAATTTCGTTACATGCTCCATTTTAGGGGTTTTCAAAGTGTACCCCGATAAAGAAATCATAGACGTACTCCTAAGACAAACGATTAAACTATTGGAGCTTTGAAGCATCCCTTGTAATATTTTTAGACTTTGCTGACGCAAAAGCGCACTTGTTGGTCGAAGATTGTTTCTCCGTTAAAACGAAAGACAGAAGTATATTCAGTAGGGTGTCCCAAATTGCACTATGTCTAGAAATCTGGAGGCTCAACCTAATGATAGCTAAGGGTGTTACAAACAAACTTTTGTATGGCGGCAACTCTGGGAAATGCTGTTTAGAGGTCGCCTCGAGGATATTTTTGAAAAAAGTCCATTTTTCATAGCTATTATCCAATAAATATTTTTCGTTCTTTAAATTTCAGTTAAATCTCACCCTTTTATATTTTTCGTAGATTTCCAAGAGTCAAAACTATAAGAGAAAAAATTGTTACGGCATGTTCTGTGTCCAATTTGTTAGTTACAATTTTTCTAATTCTCTAAAATGATGTTTTTTGTTGTACATCACTGCATTCAATCATCAAAAGTGGGTACCAAATATAGCGTTATTATCAAAGGCAGCAGAAATATGGGAAATATTATAAGCACAAACTTTGCCGAAGACACTTTAACCTCATTTTTAACCGTTAAAAAGTTATTCGTGATTTACTGTGGAAAGAAAAGTTCAGAATTTCAATACTTGCAGTATGTCCCCATCAGCAAATCAAACTATCATTGAAATCGATAAAAACAAATCACCTACGTTGTTGCAAATCACTTGATAACATTTATTTCGAAGTTTCTAGAATTCAATAGTATGATATATGAGCGGAGAGGGATTACACAATTTATTAGTTTGCATTTGATTGCCGTAGCAAGCAGAACCAAAAAAGAAAATCATGTCACCCAAAACCAAGCTCAAGTCGAATCTCATCACCGGTATTGCGAGGAAGCATTTGCCTAGAAACCGTTGCCGTCGGAGTTGGCCGTCATCAGGTACTTTCGATTCAAGCATGAAACCCAACAACTTTCAATCGGAAAAAACATTCAAGTTGTGGCTACCGAAGCTGCTTGCATATCAATGGTACACTGTTTGAGAAGCTTTTCGGATACTCAACCGGAACTTTGTTTGTCAGCTGCTGGCTCCAGAATTCTGCACGGACAGTATCGTTTCGTAGCTCTTCATGTGGTTCACGCTTATGTTGAAGAAGTAACTCAACCGCATCCTACACATCTTCAAAGCTGGCAATAGCTCTGATTTTTCTTCTTGAAGGCCTTACTTTGGCGTTGCCATGTCACAACGAGCTTGGCAACCCTCCTAACAACGTTCCGCTTGAGCTGGTGCGAAAGTCCGGCTTGATTCCAAATCTCCACAGCTTCGGTAGCCACAACTTGAATGCTTTGTCCGATTGAAAGTTGTTGGGTTTCATGCTTGAATTGAAAGTACCTGATGATGTCCAACTCCGATGACAAACGGTTTCTGGGCAAATGCTTCCTCGCAATACCGGTGATGAGATCCGACTTGAGCTTGGTTTTTGGTGGTCATGATTTTCTTTTTTGGTTCTGCTTGCTACGGCAATCAAATGGAAACTAATAAATTGTGTGATCCCTCTCCGCTCATATATCCTCCTATTGAATTCTAGAAACTTCGAAACAAATGTTATCAAGTGATTTGCAACAAAGTACAGGGTGCGTGACGAATTTTTGCAGCAAATTTCAAATAGTAATTTCTCATGCTTGTGCATCGTGATTTAGATATATTTGGCAGCACTGGATAGCTTATACTGTTAGGTGTAAGATTTAAACAAACAATGTTGAGTAAACGTAAAGATGTCGAAACAAGAGAGCAATCTGTCAGCCGTTGTCGCTTTGTTGCGCGCCGGAGTATGCATGAAAGAAATAATTCGGTCGGTAAATGTGTCTGAAAGAACAGTGTATAATATTAAAAAAGGCTTGGAAAAGTGATAAGACGGAGCACCTGCTCATACTGCTAATAAAGCACAGAAATGGCTTACGGAAAATATTTCGTAAATTTGGGAGGAAGAAATTTGGCCCCCAAGCAGTCCCGATATCAATCCGTTGGATTATTTTGTATAGGGCGTCGTCCAACGGGATACCAATAGAACCCCTCACACCACACTTAAGTCGCTAAAAGCTAAAATCAAGGCAGTGATGACATCTATGGATCGAAACATTTTAAAACGTGCATACTGCAGTTTTCGGAAGCGTCTAACTACAGTCGTCGAAAGGGAAGGCAATTTTTTTTGAATAAATTTACTTACAACTTCCATATGTTGCGAAAGAAAATAAATCACACAAAATTAATTGCTAGAATAACTAACTGGTGTATTTTTTCTCAAATATGCCATTTACTGCAAAAATTCGTCACGCACCCTGAAGGTGATTTGTATTTATCGATTTCAATGATAGTTTGATTTGCTGGTGGACATACTGCAAGTATTGAAACTCTGAACTTTTCTTTCCACAGTAAATCACGAATAACTTTTTAACGGTTAAAAATGAGGTTGAAGTGTGTACGGCAAAGTTTGTGCTTATAATATTTCCCATATTTCTGCTGCATTTGATTGATAATAACGCTATGTTTGGTACCCACTTTTGATGATTTAATGCAGTGATGTACAACAAAAAACATCATTTTAGAGAATTTGAAAAATTGTAACTAACAAATTGGACACAGAACATGCCGTAGCAATTTTTTCTATTATAGTTTTGACTCTTGGAAATCTACGAAAAATATAAAAGGGTGAGATATAACTGAAATTTTAAGAACTAAAAATATTTATTGGATAATAGCTATGAAAAATGGACTTTTTCCCAGAGTTGCCACCATACAAAAGTTTATTTGTAACACCCTTAGCTATCATTTGGAGGTTGAGCCCCCAGATTTCCAGACATAGTGAAATTTTGGGACACCCTAATATTCAGCCATCTCATAACAAAACGATATGGAATGGAATATACTGGTTCTCAAAATTCCGTATAAATTGGTAGTTTGGATCCTTATCGCAAAATATTAGACCCGTATTTTTTTATTTTGTCATTAGAGTGACCATTCCCATGTTAGAGTGATCCAATAAATATTTTTTTTTCAAAATTACTTCTTTCAAAATCGGCCTAGTTGTTCAAAAGTTGTGACCGTGCTCGAAAAAAAAAGCAACAGGAAAAAATGATCATCAACAATTCATTTTAAGTCGGATATTTTTAAAACTCTCAGAGAATAAATAAACACATAGGGGAAATGTATGTAATGTCAGCCTTAGTGTCCCTAATTTGGGCCCATACATAAATTCAGCAATCGACTAAATTTTCAATAGCAACCAAAAATATCCATTAGTACCGTCCCAATGACGCGTCCATCTAGATAAAATTGATAAATAGCAGATTGTTTTAGCGATGGGCCCAATTTTAGATCCAAAGGCCAACATTAGAGCCATTTCCCCTATTAGCTATGCTTTTGCAGAGTTGGTTTACTCAACCTCCTCTCCTAGGCTAAATGCCCGTACCTTGGACTTAACGCTACAAATTAAACCATGTGCAACACTTGCGCCATCTTTCTTACACACTTTCATCCACTCTTACTTCAAATCCTTGTCGATTTTGAAGACCTTCCCTGTTTTCTGGAGCTTGCCGTTCATAATCGCCCAGAATTTTTCTATTGGGCGAAGCTCTGGCGAGTTTGGCGGATTTGCCACTTTCGGCACAAAAACAACATCGTTGGCTTCGTACCACTCCATCGCGTAATGGAACGATGCCAGATCCGGCCAAAACAGAGTGTAAGTGTGTCATTATGTTCGGCTTGCTGAATTCGCCGCATCCACAAATCGCTTGCCACACTAAGTACTTCTTGGCAAATTTGTCGACCTTCTTCTTCCGGAACTTCTCCGGAACGGGGCGGGACTTGTCTATGAAAAATTCCACGCCTGGGATCTGCTTGGCGTCCGCTTTAATGTACGTCTCGCCGTGCATTACGATGCATTTCGGCTGCACCAACCACTCGCGGTACAGCTTCCTGGTGCGGGATTTGGCCACCGTATTCTGTTATTCTGTTAGGCGCCTTCCTTATCTTGAAGACATGTAGTCCGACCCGCAACCAGATGGAAGTGTTGACCTTCTTGGCCACGTCCCGAATCGAAAGGTTCGGATTGCGCTTGAAGTAATCCCTCACCTTCCTTGCGTTCACGGGGTCGGTCGTCGTCGCTTTTCTTCCGCTGCCAGCTCGCCGCTGGGTCGTCTGGGTCTTCTTGAACGATTTTATCACACGGGACACGGTCGAACTGTCGATTCCAAACTGTTTCGCGGTCCACCTGTGGGACTGGCCTGGATTTTCCACGACCACTCTTATAATTTTTTATCGAAGCACTTCTTAGTTGGAAGCCATCTCGATAGCCACTTGACAGATTGTGAGGAGATTTTTCACATGTAAACAGCACACTCTAAACTAGTTTAACTCAAAATTTCATAATTTTTTACCCTTGTAATAAAAAGTTATACACCAAAGAAAGTGCTGCATTTTCTTCAAGTACAATCCTTACCACTTTTTGCTCGGGCACTCGCGAATATTACCAAAGCTCAGCAGGGAGCAAGCATTGCTTGGCTACTATGATCAATCTTTGTTTACTAACCACTCTATTCAATTGGTGCCACAAGCAGAGTGTTTAGTAAACAAAGATTGATCATAGTAGCCCAGCAATGCTTATTCGGTGGGATTTGGTAACATTCGCGACTTCCCGAGCATAAAGTGGTAGTGGTGATCGGCAATGTAAAATACATAGATCAATAACTCGGTAAGGAATGATTTTTCGACAATTTTTTGCTGCAAATGTGGTCTTCTTTCACCTCCTTTCAGATGTAACACGAATTACCAGTCACCCTGTATTTTGGTGAGCGAAATTACGTTTTACGGTTCCAATAATCCCTGATAGTTTGACGAGCTAATCAAAAACGGATTTTTCACTTTCAAAACCAATGATTGGCTGTTATTGTCGAAAGCCTATTCAAAGAACAGTACCATAATCAACACGCAAATAATAATAATAAAAAAAATCCCATCAAAATTCAACACCGCTGACACCATTCTGTGGGACTTCCTCTTCCAACCAACTAGGCTCATTGATTGCATTTTCATTCGTATATAAAAAAGAATCGAATCATAAACAAATCCAATGCCACTGGCACATCCAAGCCTGGCGGTTTCCACGAGCTCCCACCAATTAGTCCTTGGTCACCAACCAACCAACCAGCCAGTGGCAACGTGCAATCGAAACTGTTGACAACCAGCAACGGATAATAATCGACATTCGTACATGGCATATGGCATAGAGGAAGCGATACCGCATGGCATGACAAAAAAAAAATGGAGTTCGCTCCAATTCATCAAAGCTTCATCACACAGAATCATTAATTATTCAGTACCCATCATCGACGTACCTATGATGACCGCAATAAGTTGACGAGTTGGGATTGTCTTGTTTTTCGATTTCCGATCTACGATCGGTCACCGGTATGCATAGGTGATATTCAGTCACGTGACGTTCGGCAAGTCGTGCACTGCACATATTTAATGATTCATTTAGTAAATTCCAACTTGGTTTGCCTCGGGATCAGAGTTCGGTGCTTAAGTTTATGAGCTTAGATCCAACCTTCGCACATCTGCATCATTGGTTATCAATGACCATGCAGCTCCTGCTTCCTCAAAAATACAATGGAATTTCAGAGGACGCATTGTGCTTAGTACTGAACAGCAGCATTTTAAATTTCATACAACTTCAAATAATCACGCCACTTACCGGCCTGGGCAGCAAAGTGTAGCGGTGTGTTGCCTTCGTTGTCCGGTTTGTTCACGTCGATGCCCGGCAGCTGGAGGAACAGTTCCAAAAAGTTTGTCAGGTTCGTCGAACAGATGTAGGAAATGGCCGTCTGAAAGGGGAGAAAGAATGATGATGGAAAATTGAAAAACATTGGTTTATACGTTGGTGCAGATATTATAGGGAGGGGGGGTCTAATGGAAAGACGATACAGCAAAAGCGGGTCTGAGATCGTCGAAGGAATGACACTGGCTCTTTGATGGAAGTCAGTTGTAGCAGCAGTATGGCTTCGCATCGATAAGTGTCTTGATGATGAATAAATAATTTGTCTGCAGTTGAGTACATGGATCGTCTGCTACCGTACAGTGACTATATTTTTTCACATGATGTATGATACAGATAAGAGTTAAGTTTATGTTTTTATACGGCGCATATGAGGGGCAATGAAAACAGTTTAATTTGCTTTTTTCGGAGGGGTTCTCTGGAGAGAAATTCAAATTTTATAGGGTACATATGTACATGGCATATGCCACTGATGGTTGTTGGAAAGCAACCTTGAAAAATATGCGTATAGAATTGATTACTTGAATTTTAGGGAGAATATTAAACATAATGAAACTGATTTCGGCTAACCGGGATAGATCTGTAAGTGAAAGTACTGTGCACCTATGAGAATGCTGCGACATGAAGTTGAATGCTATGCAAAGGAATCATGCAACTCTCAATGGTTATCTTGATTTCAAGAGCAGTATTGGTAGAAATCACTTAGCTGTATGTTTCCAATGAAGCTTAGATTGAGATTTCTGGAAGACCATCTCACGATGTGTTTATTTTTTGTGTTAATTTTTTCCACGATGTCGATGATTATCAGGTATACATACAGACACATACAGTAGAGTGGAAATACGTGAATTATAAGTTGTGACGAAAAAAATGATATAATTGAGAATTCTGACACTTATCTGCAATTTCGATTTTTTTTCTTTATTAGAGAGATGTGAAACCTCTGATGCAAGTTCGATGATTTTACACGAAGCAGTACTATGAACATTTTTGTAGCAGTTTTGAATAATTCAAATTTAAGTACCATACACTCCGATTCGTAAAAGCGTAGGTCACTCATAGAATGAGTAAATTTTTACTGAATTATGAATAAATGTCACTCATATATCAATGAATGTCATTCAAATATGAGTTGCATTTACTCATATTTGACAAAGAAAAAATTACCTACACTTTTACGAATTTAATTGAACGGTACTCAAATATGAGTGAGATACATGTGCCATGTAATTGCACAACGGAAACACAATCTTGAAATTAATAGACTGATAACACTAGTTTACAACATATTTGAACTTTGTACGCTGGTAGTCATTTCCCATGTAAAATTGTGTGCTGAAAACAAAAATGTAGTCAAAAAAATACAGTAGGATAGTTTTCTAGATACAGCTAAACATGAAATTTCACTCAACAAATATCTCCGGCAGTAATGAAGATATATCAAATATTTTAACGTCAAATTAAAGGTAAAAAAATGCTTTCGAACAACTGCACATTATTTTTCAAATAGCTTAGTGGCATTGTCCAGTTAATCAATAGAAAATTTTCTTACCTTTAATATTGTTATAAATTATGCTTTCATGATATTGAAATAGTACCTTTAAAACGTTTTCCCTAACTGACGGTGCATTTTACCACTCTAAATGTACACTTTTGTGGTAGTGATAAAATGTGCAACTTTTACCTGTTCCAAAAAATCATTTCAAAATAGCATTTGTTCTGTTGCAGTGTTCGACAAAACTACTTATTCTAAAAAAGTTTTGGTTGCTAAATTCGATTTTGAAGTCATATTTTGTTAAAATGAACATTAAGCACAGACAAACAAAAAAGCACTCACCATTACATTCTTCGTACGCTCTAAAAGTTAATTTCAAATAAGGCTTTAGTTGGGAATATGTCCGCATTTGTAATGCTGGCACAACTGAAGCGTTCAGCAGGCCAACACATTTTGAACTAATCAGTGATGCCACTTTTTATGCAGGTCATGCTCGTAGATGCTATAATTAACCACTTCATTCGTGCAGTTAAAACGACGTTTACTACTCGAACTTTGAAATAAAACATTATTTTGAGATTTTTTCTTCTAGAACCTCGAGAAAAGTAGCCAACATTTGTGCCTTTTATATAAAAAAGAAATTAGTTGGTCCAGTTTTGTGAAATCGCTGGTAGAAAGTAACGTCAAAACTGCTTGACAAAGTGGTCAATTCTCGAAAATTATGAGGAGGTCAATGCCTCCCACTGGGGAGTTAGAAACGGACGACGCAGTTATTAAACGGACGACGCGATTTACAAGCTCAGCATATTCACACGCCAATCCATCGAACGATCGAAGTGTTTACTTCTCACGCCGAACCGGCGGATGCACCGGATAAACAATCATAATCAGTTGCTGATATCATCACATCCCAACGAGAGCTTGTGACCACCCTACGACACCCAGCACCGGAGCGTAAACATAAACATACTACGCATTCATCAGATAGAGAACCTTCTTGGTAGCATAAGAATAAAAATGTAATTAGTCTTAAGTGATCAGTGAATAAATACGGAGTTAAAGCTCCTAAAAGATTTTTTTTTTCCAAATCAGTGGAAGGAAATTAACTGGCGCCCGAAATAGGGACCGGTTAAGCGTAATTAGGAAAAGTTCGGAAGAGACAAGTCAAGAAGTGCACCACGTTAGAGTTCGTGACATCTTGATAATCTTCATCCGAGATTATCTGAAGCCAATTGTGACCGCAACATAGCAGCCGTGTGGAGTTGGCCCCTGAGTAACCACGACCGTTAGAGGATTCGTGTGGAGAGAAAGGAACTTGCCGCCACACCGGAATCAATTGGAAGACGCATCCGGTTCCAAACCAGCTTGTCTCGCTGCACCCGGCAGTTGCTGGTAACACCAAAGGGAGTTAATAGGATTCAATCACCAAGCACGCGATCCCGCCCTTCTTCATCCTTTCCGTCAGAGGCTCAAGGAGTTGAGGCTACAAATCCCGCAATTGTACGGCATTCCCGTATGATGTTTGGAATTTATTTGTAAGTATTGACACAGAAAGAACAAAATATATCACAGAAAGTGAAAAATATAAAAGAAATTATAAAGTGAAATTTGTTTCAATAAAGTCAAGTGAATTTCAAAACTAGCATTTAAGTTTCGCGTTTTGAAGTAGTTCTGTAAGAAAAGTATAATAAGTATAAATCAATCAAAGTGAAAGTGAAGTGTAAATGAAAGTGAATTCTTCAAGTGTAAAGTGAAGTGCTTAAATATTTGTGATTTTTTTTTATAAGAATTTTGTAAAAATTTAAGCCTTACTTGCACAATTTTCAAGAATTAATATCAACATGGATCAAAACCAATTGGCAGAAATTCTGAATCGCATTTCGGCTCTGGAGGTTGCTTCTGCACCCTCAGCTGAAACTGACATTTCAGATCCACCATTGTATTTAACAGATGTTAATGGCATACCTGTAAATCCAGATTCCATAGAAAAAATTCCGGATCTCGTAAAGGATCTCCCTATTTTCACAGGTGATCCAAGTGAGTTGAACGTATGGCTCCGAGATGCTGAAGGTTTGGTTAAATTATACCAGCCAGATCAAAATAGTTCAGTGGATAAAAGAAATAAGTTTCACGTAATATGTAAAACAATCAGGCGAAAAATCAGAGGTGAAGCAAACGATGCTTTAGTATCATCTAATGTGAACATGAATTGGAACCTGATCAAGAGAACATTGGTGACATATTACGGAGAGAAGAGAGATTTAGGAACATTAGATTACCAGCTTTCTAATAGTTGCCAGAAAGGAAGATCGATGGAAGAATTTTATAATGAAATTAATAAGATTCTCTCATTAATCTCAAATTGTGTAGCTACAGATGATCAGTTTGCTCATCCAGAAGCTGCAAAATCTATATTATCTTTATATAATCGAAAGGCCGTTGATGCTTTCATCAGAGGTTTAGATGAAGTTGGAAAATTCCTAAAGAATGCAGATGTAGATTCATTACAAACAGCATATGCATACTGTATAACATTCCAAAACATGGAATTTCGTAAATTTTTGGCAAGACCAAAAATTTACGAAGAAACATTTGGACCACGAAATCAAATACCACAACCTCCAAAACCTATAAACATTCCACGAATTCCCATAAGTCTATTGCAACCAACACGGAAACAAATCCGATTCCATTTTCATGAAATGAAAAAACTTGCCATCCCATGAAGTCGTAACAATGATTCATGATTTTGGGATGGAAATTCATGATTCCATAATGCAGAGGAATCAAGACCGCTACAAGCGTTACACGTACTTGGCAAACCGTATTCATAAACCGCACTACATAGGTATCTGTAATACGCCTTTTGCCTTCCATCTTATACAAGTACTTATAGTCTAGTGGTCAAGGTATGGGTTTAATGATCGCTGGGTTCTTGGTTCGAATCCAGTCTGTTGCTTTATTTTATTCTTTTTACATTTTTTGGTTAACAGTTAAACCCATGAATTTAGCTCATAATTTCAACTCTGATGATTCATGATTTTGGAAATCTTTGCTGCGTTACGCAAAAGTTGCTCATGATATCATGAATATTATTCATGGTGTATTTTCATAACATAAAAATACGCTGTGTTCATGAAATTATGAGTCATTTTTCTCATTTCGAAGATCGGATTTTTTCCCGTGAAGAATGCTACAGCCCAAATACATACCTCCTCAATACCAACATAGATACACATTACCTCCTATACTACCACCGAGAAATGTGCCATATAATAGCTATCCACAACAAATTCCACATTTTCCACAAAGAAATCCTTTCCAGAAACCTTTAGATAAACCCGTTCCGATGGAAGTAGATACATCAATTAAATCCCGACAAATAAATTACGGAAATCGTCCAGCAGGTTTTCCTTTGAAGAGACCAAGACAATTCAATATGAGTACCCAGGATTCCAGGAACAACTACCTGACCAATCCGAAGAAAATCATGAAGTAACAGAAACCCTATTTTCAGCAACCGTATGATGAAAATGGGAATGAAACTTCATTTG